ACTCAGCTGAGTTAAGGGAAAGGGATTTTTAAGAAGAAGTGCTTTCATTTACTCGTGAGGACCAATGTAATGAAGTTGGAGAAGGCTGGCTGAAATGATCAAAGGGATGTGAGAAGTGAGGAAAGGGGCGGAGAAGGGCTGTGTGAAGGGCTGGATAAAAACAATCCAGCCAGATGGACGAGCAAGAGAGGACATGCAGGGATTCCAGGGGTCCCGAGGGGAAAGAGGGAGACTGAGTTGTCCGTCAGAACTGGACTGCCAGCATGAGAGGGGTGCGGCTGACACAGCTGGAACTGAGCTCACCGCCAGGATCCCAGAGTTCAGCCCTCTGCCCCAGCTTCCGTTGGTGCTGCTAGCAGAGAGAATTTGAAACTCAGGAGACTGTAAACCCTGACCCAATTTCCCCCCAATATTTCTTTCTGAGAATCATCAAACATACAGAAAAGTTGAAGTTGTACACCGAAAGCTCATGTTCCCACCATTTAGATTCTGCCGTTAACATTCCTCTACTGACTTGATAACGTCTATCCATCCCTCTCTCCTTCCATCAATCCATTTTATTTGTTGACACCTTTCAAAGTAGGTTGCCAAGAGACCTGGGCACGTTCTGACAGTTAAACAGTGGATTGCAGCACCATACAGGAGGAGAGATTCTGTTTTGTGCATTGCCCCAGATGTCACAAAGCTCCCCCCAAAACTTCTTACCAGTCCTGTGGAGTTTTCTCCCAAGATGCCTTTTAGATCTAGGCTCTCAATTTCAGATGTATCCAGGCACCTGGAAGTAACATGGGGTGGGGGGTCGTGTGAAGTAGCCCTGGTATACATACAACTGTAGGGAGTAGGGAGAGCTGAGGGCGCGAGAGCACCTGTCCCATAGAGAGGCATCCACTGCCCAGCCCATTGCTGTCGTGTGAGGCTTATGAGGGCTTCTATGTCAAATCTTTCACCTTTTATTAAATGTTTGCAAATGATGTTTACATACTGGTCAAAGGGTATCCAGGATGACTCCTTGTGTGTGTTTTCCAATTGCTATAACAAATTACCATAAACTTAGCTGCTTAATCAATACAAATTTATTCTTACAGCCCTGTAAGTCAGAAGTCCAACTCGGGTCTCATTGGGCTAACATCAAGGGATTGGCTGGACTTTCCTTTCTGGGGGCTCTAGGGAAAACGAGCTTATCTGCATTGTTAGCAGAATGTAGTTATGAGGAGGGAGACTCCCACTTCTTTGCCAGCTATCAGCTGGGGGCCATTTCCAGCTTCTAAAGGCCACCTGCCTTCCTTGGCTCATGACACCTTCTTCCATCTTCAAAGCCAGCAGGGGTGGGTTGAGTCCCTCTCACACTTACAATCTTTATCTCTTCTTTCTCATCGCTCTAACCAATCCAGAAACGTTCTCTGCTCTGAAGGACACCTGAGTTTACATTGGGCCCACCTAGATAGTTCAGGTTTCTCAAACTCATCTCAAGGTTCTTAACCTTAATCACATCTGCAAAGTCCCTTTTGCCATGTAAGGGAACATGTTCCCAGCTTCTGGGGATTAAGGCTTAGACATATCGAGGGGTTGCTACTCTGCCTACCTCAAATGACTTGTGGATACAAGATCGACAGCCTTTTTATTCCCTTTGATTCGGCCTGGTCCTCAAGTCACCTTTTCTGGGCCCTTGGAAAACCTCCTAATATCCCTAATGAAATAGATTCCACAGATAGAGAGAAATGAAGGACAAAAAAAAATCATATTTTCTATAATCATTGTTAGCAAAACATTGGTATTATTTTTCTGAAACTGTTATGTAGTGTAGAAAAAAGTAAGTAACTATGTTAATGTTAAAAACCTAGATTTTTAGCAAAAGAGATAAGATATATAAAACCAGACTGACATTACAAGAAAACTATACACATACACCAATATCCCTAATGAATATAGATGCAAAAATCTTCAACAAAATATTAGCAAACAAAACTCAGCAACAGATATGAAAGATTATACACCATGACCAAATAGAATTTATCTTAGGAATACAAGTTGGTTTAACATATAAAAACCAATGAATGTAATATACCCAATACTAAGTTAATAAAATGAAGAACAAAACCTATTATGATCATCTCAATGGACACAAAATGTATTGGGCAAAACCCAACGTTTTTCATGATAAAAACATTCAACGAACTAGGAATAAAAGGGAACTTCCTCAACCCAGTGAAGAGCATCTATGAAACATCCATACTAACGTTAATATTTAATGGTGAAAGACTAAAAGCTTTTCCTCCTAAGATTAGCAACAAAATAAGGATGTCTGCTCTTGCCACGTCTGTTCAACATTGTACTGGAGTTTCCAGCCACAGCACTTAGACAAGAAAAAAGGGCATCTCACTTGGAAAGAAGTAAAACTCTCTCTTTGCAGATGACATTCTTGTGTATATGGAAAATCCTAAGGATTCCACACATACAAAAAATTAGAATTAATAAATGAGTTCGGCAAGATTGCACGATTGTAAGATACAAGCTCAAAATACAAAAATCAATTGTATTTCTATACACTAGCAAGGAATAATTTAAAAATGAAATGCATATTTACTAAACATTTCTCCAAAGATATACAATTAGAAAAATGCAATAATGAGATACCACTTCATACCCACTAGGATGTCTGTAATCATAAGGATGGACAATAACAAGAGTTAGTGAGCATATGTGGAGACAGTGGGAACCTCATAATGGCTGGCAGGAATGTAAAATGATGTGTCCACTATAGAAGGCAATTTAATAGTTCCCTTAGGAGTAATCATGGGGTTACTTTATGATCTAACAATTCTACTCCTTGGTATCTACCCAAGAGAATTGAAAACATGTCTACACAAAAACTTGTACATGGATATTCATAGCAGCATTATTTATAATGGCCAAAAGGAGAAACAATCCAAATGTCTATCAGTTAATGAATGTGGTATAGCCATACAGTGGAATAGTATTATACCATGAAAAAGAATAAAGTAAAAGAAACCAAACACAAATACCAAATATTAAATGATTACATTTGTATAAAATGTCCAGGTTAGGAAAATATATGAAAATAGAAAGCAAATTATTGGTTTCCAAGGCCTGGAGAAAGGGAATAATGGGTAGTGACTGCCAATGTAGATGGAGTTTCTTTTAGTGGTAATGAAAATGTCCTAGAGTTAGATAGTGGTGATAGTTACGACTTTGTGAATATATTAAAAACTACTAAATTGTATACCTTACAGGGTGTTTTATGTCGAACTTTGTGGTATGTGAATCATGTCTCAATAAAAGAATATGCAATATAAAATTAAAGTTTAGTAAAACTCTGTGATCCTATATATTAAATATAGAATTTCAGCATAAACTCATGATGTATCTGTTAAAGTGTATTACTAGCTCTGGCCACTGTAAAGGCATAGAAACCATAACCAAGCCAGTACTAATGAGTGCCCTTAGTGCCCAGTGTCTGGATGGTGATACTGATGATATTAGAGAGTCAGGGCTCCGCGGCAGAATGGCCAGTTCCTGGTTAGGGAAGGAAATGAACACGTTAAGCCTGGAGAATCTTCTGGTATCTTTTATCAGAAAGCAGGGAAGCTATCGGTGCTTTGTGGTCATGTTCAAAGGACCAGGAGCCAAGTTGAAAAGATTCCCTTGGGCTAAGATGGACTTATTTGGGAACCATTAAGAATAATACTTGCACTGAAATGAAACATAGTAATTATGTTAAAAATGATGAATTCATAATGAAAACCACTAATTGCCATCTTTGGGGGATGCAGGGGAACCAAGTCATTCTGAAAACTGATAAACAAAGAATCAAGAACTTACCCTGTCTTTCCTGTACTTTGGGGTTAACAAATAGTTGATGTGATTGTTTTTCTTGATAGAAGTATTCCTGCTAGTCAATGAAGAATGATAGAATTAGAATATCATCATTTTTGCAAACCCCTGATGAAACAAAAGATTCATCAGTGGCCAGCAACATCGCACAAGGAAAGACAACTGGACATTGTGTATTTCCCATGGGATACTCACACCTGTGAAGACATTTCTAGAATATCTCATCCAGTTAGGTCAAGCCTCTAGATCTAACTACCAGTTTACAGGATCCAGGGACTGGAGGGTGAACAGAGAAACATGTTTGGAGAACCACAGCGAGGCAAGCAACAAAATGCAGACTGTGGGAAATCCAATAGGACAAATAACCCTGTTTCTTCAACAAATAAATTGTAAGGAAAAAAAGAGACTTAGGAGACACATCAGCTAAAGGCAGTATATGAGCCTTGCCTTGATCCTAATTTATACAGACCAACTATAAAAAGACACAAGAAAATCCAGGAAATTTGACCACCAACTAGATATTAGATGATAATAAGAAACTGTGGTAATTCTTTGCAGTGTTATAATGATATTAAAGGCCCGCGGGGGCAGGGCCTCCCACCCTGCGGCCTACCACAGTGGAGAGTGGAGAAGAAAATGTGCCCTTTGCTGGCAGAGCCCAGGGAGGGAAAGGGGGCGGGGCTGAGCCAGTGAAGCCCAGTTTGTGCTTCCAAACGCATGGACAAGTGGTTTCTCCTCCATTGGAGAGGAATGTGCAGGGGTAGGGAGGGAGGCCCGAATTGCTGAAGGGCTGTCCTCCACATGGGATCGTGAGGATGGGCAGCCATGTTCCCATCACGATTGAGGCTTAAACAAGTCAGTGCATGTGAAGCACTGAACCCCTGTGCTGCTCCATCAGCACTGGCTGCTGTTGTTTTGGGTCTTGTATATTTATCCTGGTATACTGTGTGTACAGGGATTGGAGGCCGGCCTTCAGGATGCCAGGTCGAAGAAGGTTCTGGAGTGACAGAGGTGTCTCCAGCTTTTACTTGTTCCCTAAAGGCTGGAGAGGAAGTGGGATTTGCAGTTAGCCGAAACACGTGCCTGAGTTCTCTTGGCAAGATGAGAGCTGAACCTGTTCTCTCCCTGTCTCCTGTGTCTCCTTCTAGCTGCAACAGCAAACGCTACCTGGAGACGCTCCCCAACACCAGCATCATCATCCCCTTCCACAATGAGGGTTGGTCCTCCCTCCTCCGCACCGTCCACAGCGTGCTGAACCGCTCGCCCCCAGAGCTGATCGCCGAGATTGTGCTGGTCGATGACTTCAGTGATCGAGGTAGGGCCTGTTCCACCCAGTTCCTGCCCTCCATGCTCCAGCCAGGGACTTCCTGGACACAGAGTGGCAGGGTTTCCCTTCTTCAGCAGCATCAACATATGGGCCACCATTTACTGACGCTTGCTCCGGGCCCGGCCATGAACCTGACACTGTACACACATTATCTTGTTTAGTCCTCACGGCAACCCATGAAGTAGGGTTTTTTTAGTATATATCTCATTTTTATCACTACAGAATTGCATTAAACTGCAGATAACAGAAAACTTGATAAACAGTAGCTCAGACAAGTAAGAGATTTCTTTATTTATTCAGTCTTTCATTTTATAAGAAGATTCAGGATTGGTACAGCTGCTCAAGGCTATCATCAAAGAACCAGTAAGGCTGCTTCTTTTATTCTGCTTCCTCATCCTCATGGTCATAGAATGGCTGCTGCGGCTCAGGAAGAAGGAGGAAGGGCAAAGAGAACTAAGCCCCTTCTTTTCAAGACTATGCCTTCTTATTTAGGAAAGTTATTTAGGAAACACTTTTGGCCACAACTCTGACATCTGGACATCCATATCTGCAAGAGTGGCTGGGCCATGGGAGTGTTTTGATTTTGGCCTTATTTAGTAGAGGTAGGAAGGTGGATTAAGAAAAGTGTTAAACAAGCCCACCTACAGTATCTTCCTTGCCGTTCAACAGATGAGAAAACTGAGGCTCAGAGGTTAAGTGGCTTAGCCTTGGTTACACAGCTCCTACGTGATGATGTGGTGATCAAACCACATCTGTCTGGCCCCAAGCATGTGATCTTAGCCACTGTACCACACTGCCTTGCAACCAGTAGCCCAACTTTATTCTTTGCATCAAAGATTTTACCAGTTGCAGAAAAATCAAGAAAAATCCTCTCCACTGCTCACATTCTTTAGAGGCACTAATCAAGAGTGAAGAGAGGGAGTCTAAGTGCACTCCAGAGTAATCAAAGCTGACCTCCCTATTGACCCATTTTTAATACCACACTCTTAATTACATGCCGTTAGTAAGAGGCCTCAGTGGTGTGTGTCTGTACACATACACGCACGCGCGCGCGCACACACACACACACAACTTCAGTTCCTGCCACCTCTAAAATCCTTCCCTGACTCTTGACCTAAACTCATTGTCATGGAGCCCTTTAGTTTTCCTTTTGAGTGCTTATCACAGGCAGAATTAAAATACAAGTAAGTGTAATGTGTAAACATTATTTGTGTTAATATTGAGTGGCTGCATGTCTCCCCTGCTAGATAGTACCTTCTGAGAGCAGGACTATGTCATTGGTCTTGTTCTCTCATCAAACATACATGTTTGATGAATGAATGATCAAAGTACATTCCCTCTGTTCCCTTAATACTTGGGCACCATGGTTACAGGAGCATCTAGCACCTTATATGAGATTTATTTGTGTCCCTGAGGCGAGGTCTGTGGGCCCACTGAAGCCCGGGGTGTGTCTCCTTGCCTCCAGAGCCCTGTTCTTCAGCAGAGAGTCCGGCAGCAGTTATATCTTTGATCCGGGCCCTGCCACTTACCAGACCCAGGCACCCGCCCTCCGCGCTCCAGTGCCCTCCTCTGTAAAATGGGGCCCCAGCAGTGCTTCCCTCTGAGGCGGCTGTGACTGTTAAATGAGTTTTATGTAAAGGGCTTAGGACAACGCCTGGCATATAGTGAATGTTAGAAATAAACATTGAGTCTTGGTATTATCAATATTATTATTATTATTGATATTATTTATGACTAGTTGTAGGAGGGGGGTCAGGGATAAACATACCGACAGGGAGGGCAGGTACAGTGCTCTCATTTCTGTGGGTGAAAGGGCTCTGTGAATTGTCAAACACTAAACAAATGTCCTGTTGTCTCACCTCCCACCCAAATTGTCTCCTACCCCTTCCCTATTTAGGGGGTCATTTTAATGCACCAGGTCCACATGTTGTCCCATTTATTCTTGACAACAAAGTCAGGGACGCGTTGTATCCTTGGGTCTCTGATGGGGAGTTGGGGTTAAGTGACTTGCCCAGAGTCACACAGTCAGTGAATAGGACACCCAGGCCTGGGAACTCAAAGCCCAAGACCCTTACCCTGTGTGTTATCACATGCCGTTAAGTTGGCCCTGACTCTGGGTCACCCTATAATGAGTGTTGTCCACCCTGGCCTGTCCTCAGGAGCCCTACTCCTGTAGACTCATGCCTCTGGCTCTTTGATGGAGTCCGTCTGGCCCGTATTTGGCCTTCCTCTTTGCCTGCCGCCTTCTATTTTCCCAGCACTATTGTCTTTTCCAAAGAACCCCGCCTTTTCATAATGTACCCAAAGTAGGACAGCTTCAGCTTTGTCAGTTTTTTGCCTCCAGTGATTATTTCAGGCTTAATTTGCTCTGGGACCCACTTGTTCATCTTTCTGGCGGTCCAGGGTATTCGTAAAGCTCTCCTCTAACATCATATTCCAAATGAAGTCATTTTTTTCCTGTCTGCCTTCTTCACGGTTAATTTTTGCTTCTGTACATAGTAACTGGGGAGACGAGGGCTTGATGGTCTCCGCTGTGGTTTTCTCCCTCTCCTGTCTCCCTTGACCAGCCTCCTCTCCCCACCTCAGCCTTCTCCCAGTTTGGGTCCACCACACACAAGCCACCGGCCGGCAGCCGGACAGGGAAAAGGCACATAAAGGAGCGCATTGCTCACGTGACACTGGATTTCCGTGTACTGCGCTGCAGCAGAAACACCCTCTGCTCCTTGGGGCAAACACCCAAGTTCGCCATACCCTGTGGGGAGCACTGTGAGGAACATGAAGAACCTCACAGGTGCAGGTGGGGTTCAGGTGTCTCTCCTGGCATGGTCTGTATTTGGTTTCTGAAAAATTGTTCCACTGTTTTAAAATGTGTGGAAACCACAGCTGTTTCTCAGCCTGCTCACTTTACAAGTGGGGAGCCCAAGGCCTGGAGCGGAGGGCAGGCTGCACTCAGTATGTACAGCCAGCTGCCAGCAGAGGAGACAGGAGTCCCATCTCCAGGCTCTGGAAACAGCCTTGTCCCTCCTCGTACAGCTGGCCGCACGGAACATCTGCAGAAGTGCGTTACTCCTTTCTGGCCCCAAGGACACTTCTCAGTAAATTACTTTTCCATTGTATTGGAGAGCAAACTTCCTGCTAAAAAGAGCTCATTATCTAGCACGGCCAGTCCTGGACCCTAATGGTTTGCATCTCTAATATCCCAATTTCCTTCAAGTTATACTCAGGGATAAAAATAACATGACCCCCTCCGCCCCCACTCGCCCTCATTAAAAAAAAAGAAGTAACAATCTTGAGAAAGAAAAGGTCAATTTTGTAAGAATGACATTCTCCAAGTGCATCTATTTCTCCAGAGAGCAACAGTATTAATACAGTGTGGTGTCATCGCCACACCCCAATAAGATAGAGAGGAGACCAACTACTGTCCCATTTCACAGGTGACAATGAAGACCAATGTCCCTGATTGTTGCCCCATTCTCTCAATGAACCACACGTAGAACCCAGAGGAGAGAACTCTTACCTCGCTGCCCTCCGTCCTGCACATCAGCCGTTAGAATTTGCAACTGGCATTTTTCAGAAAAACAATCATTATTCTTGTTTCAAGGAACAATTCTCAAGGCAGCTTTGGAAGAAAACTTCCTCAGCAGTGATTGTTTTAAAAATGAGATTCGGGAGAAACAATTTCAGCATTATGGAGAGGCCTGTCTCAAGTACAGCAAATGTGGGACTTCGCAAAAGGCATTTCTCTGGGCCACATGTGAGTGGCAATTCTCAGAGTTGAAATCCATAGACGCTAACTACAGGCTGGATCCGCGCTGCCTAGCTGAAGGCATTTTCCTCTGAAATGAGTCTCCTCCAGGATCCTCAGAGCAACTAATTGAAATTCAGCTAAGGGTCGAGACCTTCGATAGGAGACAAAATTGGAGCAGACAAATTCTTGCAGTAAGATCCAGAGCTCTGTGCAGGCAGCACTAGGGACTGGAGTGGAGGTGGACGCTGACGCTGGAAGAATCCGGGAGTGCTTGCAAACAGGCCCCTGCAGATGCAGGATTTCCAGATGCTCTTCAAATGTGTGAGCTCTGCTTGAGGATTAGGAGGACAGGAGGGCGTTTCTGCATTTGGGAGAGAGAGATTAGGATGTCGGGTGGCAGACCTGCCTTCACATTGCACCGTCTGGATAGGAGATTTGTATTAGGAAACACAGATAGCCCTTTGTTCATCAGTTTCTGTCTATTACTCTTCTCTCCCCTTCCCACTTTTTAACAGGGTTGGCTTTCTAGAAAAATTGGATACATAGTCATGCGAAGGATTATCATCTTCTTCAGATGAACTATAGGCTGCCTGTAATGATGAGGTACAGAAAGGAAAGGCTGTGCTCTACGCTCACTGATAGCATTTTCTCCAGCTCAACTTTCTATCAACAAACAAACAAAAATGTACACAGGGCCCTAGCTGGTGTGGCTCAGTTGGTTGGAGCATTGTCCTGCAGAGTGAAAGATCATGGGTTTGATTCCCAGTCAGGGCACATGCCTGGGTTGTGGGTTTGGTCCGTGGTCGGGGTGCATACAAGAGGCAGCCTATTGATGTTTCTCTGTCTCATCAAAGTTTCTCTCCTTTTCTTTCTCTCATTTCCCCTCTCTAAAAATCAATAAGCACATCCTCAGGTGAGGATTAAAGCAAAAATTTTTTTCCATGTACACAGGGATGGATTCCCTAAAAGGAACCTGCTAATAAGCAAGTATTGCAGAGCTCTTGGTAGATTGCTGGCAGTGAGTGGTTCTTGCAGAGTCCATTGGTTCACGTGGTAGAGACCCCCACCAGTGAGCCAGGGTCCGCAGTCTTCTTCCCATGGGCTTAGTAACTCCAACCGGCATTCTCACACCGCGCCAGCCATGGGACACGTCAGGGAAATCTGTTTGTCCTGGCCTGATTCACATTTCAGCTTACCCTTGACACTGCCCCCAGGCATCCATTCCTCCGTTCTTGTTAGC